TGAGAAGTGAGGCTGGAGAGGAAAAGTGCAGAGAATCCTTCCAAGCAGTCACCTCCACCTTCTGTGTATTATATCTCCTGCTTCATTAGATTCCCCAGCAGTGAACATGTCTCGCTCTTTTTCAAAAAACAAGTAGTTGGGGCCAGAGATGGTCACTCATGCCTGTAATTCCGGCATTTTGGGAGGCCAAGGCAGGAGGATTGCTTGAGGCCAGGAGATCAAGATCAGCCTGGGCAACACAGCAAGATGCCATCCCTAAAAAAAATTTTTTTTTAATTAGCTGGGTGTAGTGGTGCACACCTGTAGTCTTAGCTACACAGGAGGCTGGTGCAGGGGGATCGCTTGAGCCCAGGAGTTTGAGGTTGCAGTGAACTATGATTGCATCATTGTACTCCAGCTAGGGTGACAGAGCAAGAGCCTGTCTCTAAATTTTTTTTTTAATTTAAAAAAAACATGGAGTTATTTGAGTTCCTTTCTTTTGCTGTTAACTCCATTTCTGTTTTCATTTATTTATTGTATGTCTTTCTTAGGTTTATTTTGTCTTTTCTAACTTTTTGAGTTGGGCAATTCATGCTTTCTCATTTATTAATAAGATCAGTGTTTTAAGGCTATATATGTTCCTCCTAACATTGGCTTTGGCTGCATCCCACAGGTCCATAAATATATTTTTTGTCATTGTCTAGATATTCTGCAGTTTTTGTTTTTTGTTCTTTTTAACTCAAGGTTACTTTTAAGTGTTTATAGACCTCTTGGTGGCAAAGTTTGGTTTGGTCTGTGGTTTCGTTATTAGTATTTTCAAATTCTACTATATTGTTATCAGAGAACGTTGTCTTCTATTTTTTGGAATTTACTTTCTTTGTGGCCTGATAGTCACTTTTTGTGTATGCATTTCAATAGAATGAAGGTAGACTGTGTTTTACACACACACACACACAGAGTTGTTAGATTATTTGGCTCCCTCTCTCCTTACTTTTGTTTTTGCCAACTGCATATGGAATGGTTTGAGACAGGTGAATTAAAATGCACTCGGCCAGGCGTGGTGGCTCATGCCTGTAATCCCAGCACTTTGGGGGGCCGAAGTGGGTGGATCACCCAAGGTCAGGAGTTCGAGACCAGACTGGCCAACATGGTGAAATCCCAATTCTACTAAAAATACAAAAAAAACCAAAACAAACAAACAAAAAAACAAGCATAGTGGTGAGCACCTGTTATCCCAGCTACTCAGGAGGCTGAGGCAGGAGAATCGCTTGAATCCAAGAGGTGGAGGTTGTAGTGAGCCGAGATCATACCATTGCACTCCAGCCTGGGCAACAGAGTAAGACTCTGTCTCAACAAAAAAAAAGGTGCTAATGCTAGCATACTCTGCTTTTTCTCCCTAAATTTCCAGTCTTGCTCTGTGAATATTGAGGCTATGCTATTTGGTACATGAACATTCATTAATATTAGATCTTCATGATGACTGTCATCCTTCACCCTCACACAGTGCCCTTCTTTTTTCTCATTCAATTTTTTTTGCCCTGACTTCAGCTTTGTCTGTTATTATGACCCCTGATTTATCTTCATTTGCATTTGTGTGTTATGCTTCTACTCATCTTTTTAAAATTATGGTAAAATGCACGTAACATTTATCATTTTAACCTTTTTAAAAGTATACAGTTCAGGGGTATTAAGTACTTCTCACTGTAGTACAACCGTCACCATCATCCATCTGCAGAACTTTGTAAAAATCATCTACCCATCTTTTTTTTTTTTTTTTTGAGATGGAATCTGTCACCCAGGCTGGAGTGCAATGGCATAATCTTGGCTCACTGCAACCTCTGCCTCCTGGGTTCAAGCGATTCTCCTGCCTCAGCCTCCTGAGTAGCTGGGACTGCAGGCACCCACCATCACACCTGGCTAATTTTTTGTATTTTTAGTAGAGACAGGATTTCATCATGTTGGCCAGGCTGGTCTTGAACTCCTGACCTCATGATCTATCTGCCTCGACCTCCCAAAGTGCTGAGATTACAGATGTAAGCCACTGTGCCCGGTCCTGCCCATCCTTTTTGATGAAACCTTGCTGAATCATTCTACCTTCAGTGCCCTTGTTTGTGATCCAGTCTTTTTTATTTTTTAGCAAGTGTGTATGGCTCATTAACATTTACTGATATGGCAGATGCATTTGGTCTTAGTTCTGTCATCATTGTTTGATAGGCTTTCTGCTTTCATAGTTTTGTGGGGGTTGTCAATTTTCTCCATATGGTCTCTGTTGTCTTTGTTTTATTTTCTGTGTGTATGTCTTCTGACAATTTGAAAAGCTGCATTTTTGATCCCATGGTTATCTTCATAATTATAATATGACATCTTTAATCCTTTTATTTCTCTAGACAACATTTATTTTCTCCCTACTATCAAAATTAGAGTATTTCTACTTTCCTTCCTCGAAGTTATTTGATTTTTTTCTGTTTACCTCGATGCCTCTAATTTTAAACTTCTAAGCAATTCTTTAGACTCCCAACTATATATGAATATGACAGTTTACTTAAATTACCTCCATCCCTCCTACTTTTTATTATTTATTATTTCTCTGTTTTGTTTCATTCTTCTCTGTGATGGTCATAATCTTTAGATTGGCTGCAATAGTCCTGCAGTTACACAAATTCTATGCTCATTGCTGGCCCTCTTGGCAGTGCTCCATTTATACCTTGACCCTGATTTCTCTTCATTTGCATTTGTTATGCTTCTGCTCATCCTTTTTATGAATTCTGGTAAAATATACATAACATTTACCATTTTAATGGTCTACAGTTCAGGGTCATTAAGCACCTTCTCAGTGTAGGGCAACTGATATGGTTTGGCTGTGTCCCCACCCAAATCTCATCTTGAATTGTAAATCCCACAATTCCCATGTGTCATGGGAGGAACCTGGTGGGAGGTAATTGAATCATGGGGGCAGGTCTTTCCCATGCTGTTCTCATGATAGTGAATAAATCTCATGAGATCTGATGGCTTTTACACATGGGAATTTTCCTGCACAAGCTCGCTTTCTTTCCCTTTGCCTGCCACCATCCACGTAAGGTGTAACTTGCTCCTCCTTGCCTTTTGCCATGATTATGAGGCCTCCCCAGCCATGTGGAACTGTAAGTCCAGTTAAACCTCTTTTGTAAATTGCCCAATCTCGGGTATGTCTTTATCAGCAGCATGAAAATGGATTAATACAGCAGCCATCACCACCATCCATCCACAGAACTTTTAAAAAATCATCTGCCCATCCTTTTATATTAAACCTTTCTGAATCATTCTTGATTTGCCTTAAGGGTGTCCTTAACTTTTTAAAGAAAGGGTCATGGGAACTATAATTCAAAAATATGTTCACGTTTTTCTGTTGACTTTATACTTGAAAGATGGTTCATTGGGCTTTAAATTCTTGGTTCATTCATTTATTTGATAAATATTTATTAAGCCCCCTACAGTATGCCAGTTACTATTCTAGACCCTGGCAATGCAGTGATGTGTAAAACAATCACCTTAACCCTCTTGTAGCTAACTTTTTATTTAGGGAAGACAAACAATAAGCTATTCAAGTAAGTACAATAGGTGGTATGTTGGATAGAGGTGTGTGCTCTATCCAAAACTTTGTTTTCTATGGAGAAAAACAAAGTGGGTGATGGAGAGTACCTGGCTTTGTTCTGTGAAGCAGAGGAGATGACCCCACGGAATATCTCACCCTTAGCCCCTGTACATATTCCCACTGATGTGTAAAGAGTGGAGAGTAGGTTCTGCCTCTTGGTGTCTCACTCACTCTGGGGAAGTGGGCTTTCCTGGCTTTGTCAGAGTCACTCCCTTGACTTCTCTGTTTGCCCAAAAACCATGTACTTAAGAACTGTCACCAGATGCAATTTATGCAAGTAAAAGAAATTCCACTGCAGTGGTATGGAGGGGGCAGTCCAGGGCTGCCACCAGAACCAAGTTTCTCCCTGCTTTCTACTCCACCTGTGTTAGTGAGCATCCTTCATTCTCATGCATGCAAGATAGTTCATCTTTCCCTGAATTCATGTCCCCTTCCCAATAGACTCCCACTTACACAGCATTGGCCAGACTGGGTCATGTGACCACCCCCGCTTGCAAGGGAGTCTGGAAAGGTAAGTATCTGTGGCTGGGAAATTGGTCTTACAACAGACGCAGGGCAGTGGGGGTCATGCTGCCTGCCACAGATGGAGTTTGCATTTCTTTTCCTCATTGTCTGGTTTGCAACTTGACTCTGCCAATCAAAGCTATAAGTGCCCTGCAGACCTGTTTCCACACTGTAGATCTTGTTCCACTGGTCTCCTGGCTCTTCCCTATTCCAGGAGCACCTTGGTCTCTTCTCTATAGCTTTGTATGACATGGTCATATATTAGTGTCATTCCAAAATACATAATGGTTTTTGTCAATATGAATGGAATCTGTATCTGTGTTTAATATTTAGTTTGTTATAGCAAGGGTGACCATATAATTTATCATCTAAATCAGAATACTTTTGAGGGTAAAAGGGGAACAACATTAAAAATTATGTCAGAACAAGTGTTAACTGAGACTGTCCCAAGCCATGACATATAATTACCCTAGTCATTGTTGCATTTTATAAATTGATTTGATGTCTTATAGGTTGATTATACCACCTCTATGTCTGCACTCTCCATTCTACTAATTAACTTGTTGATTCTGTTACATTTTCTAGTAAGTTATCCACAGTTAACTGTAATTTTGGTTCTTCTATTCCAGTCCTATTCTATGCTTATTTTTCTTGTCTTATTGCATGGGCCAGAGCTCTAGTACTATATGGAACTATAATGATAGCAGATTTTTTTTTTCTTGCTTCCAATCTTAAAGTCACATGGTTCACAATGTTCAGAAGACCAAACCCACGTGCTCAAAAGAAACCTGGCTTCTTCTGACACTGAGACCATAGAGAAATGTCCCCAGTGAGTCCCCATGGAGGAGACACCATGTGATACTTTTTTTCCTTGTATTTCTTCCAGAAAACCCTTTTGCTGTGCCTCAGGATGGGGGAGATGAGATCTGAAGCACCCAGTGCAGCCTCTGAGAAGAACAACTTCTACAGAGATGCCAGGGACAGCCGAGGTAGCGACGGTGGCAGAGGAAGAAATGCTGCCTGTGCCCAAAACCCTCTTCCGTGGACTTCTAAGATTAGGAGCAAACTCAGGGGTAGGGGCTGGGGGTGCCGGGGAAGGGATTCTGAGCCACCTGTCCGCAAGCAATAGTCCCATTTTGGGCTGGTGGCTTCTGAGAGGTGACTCATTGTGGACTCAGGATGACCAAGACAAAGCAACTCTGGCTGATTCCAGCCAGGAGGATTGAGGTCTGTGAGTTATACCCATGGTTGAAAACCGAAGCTTCCCTTGCCCCTGCTCCCTCCAAATAGCGGCCCCTTGGGGCTATTTGTGTCAGAATATTGGATGTGCGCGTGTGTGTGTGCGCGTGTGTGATTTGGGGTGTTCTTTTTGTTTGCTTGGTTGGTTTTTATTGGGGCTTCCCCCTCAAGTTCTCTGATGGGCATGGGTCACCCTCTAGCTGGGGGGTTCTGATCAGTGTCAATGTCCAGGCCGCAAGCTTCTTGCTAAAGCACAGGGTACAGCCCCTCTGTGTCTCGGGGGGGCACTGGGGATTTGAAAATGCCAGTAGGGTTGGTTCTTACAGAATTCATTCCTGTAACAATAGTAATACTAAGGGACGCATCTCAGGCTGACCACAGGTCAGGTACCAAGTTGAGTGTTTTCATGCACTCTCTCTCTTACCACCTGGGAGGCAGAAAAAGCTCACAGTGGAGAAGGGGTGCCCAGGGCCATGTGGCCAGGAGGAGACCAACCCCTCGTTTGATCTCAGGGGTGCAGGAACCCAAAGTCCAGGCTCCAACTCCCTGGACATGACGTGCTCCCCAGCCAGGGCACACCCTGCACAATGCCAGGAGCATCTCCTTGATGCCTCCACAGGCCATCTCCCTGAGTTCTCCGCCATCACCACCTGGAGCGCTGATCCACTCAGCACATTCGGGCTAAGCACCTGCTGCCTGCCAGGCCCCGTGCTGGGCACTGATGGGGACGAAAGATGAGTCAGACCTTATCTCTGCCCCTGGGGAGCCTCCCATCTGGTGGGAGACACAGACACAGGGATCTTTGCTGGACAGGGTAACGAGGCTACAGAAACCCAAAGAGGAGGGTTCTAGAAATCCATCTACTTTCAAGTGGGACTTCCATGTAAACCTAGATGCCCATAACATCCACCCACAGAGCTTATCACCTCCACTCCTGCCCCATTGCACCTATGAGATGGCATCACCTAAATGATCACAAACATCTCCAAAGGCCACGCTGCCAGTGTAGATACACACATTCCATGGGCGTTAGTGATACCAGACCTCCCTCAGCTCTTAGCTCGGGAGGCCCTGCTTAATAAACATGTGTGTCCTCTGATCCAGTTTCCTCATTTCATCAGACCTGGTGTTCTCACACTGACCACCCATCCATTCACCAGACACGACAGTGAACAAGGCAGGTCCCTGCTCACTGTGCTGGCTTTCTAGCTGGGGCAAGACAGTGAAGAAGGAAGGTGGCAAGGGCAGTGAGTGCTCTGCTGGGAACTCAGTTCGAGGGACATGTGAGCGAGACACTTGTGGACCTGGGGTGGTCTGGAAAAGCCTTCTTGAGCAGATGATTGAAGCCCGGATTTGAATGACACACAGGAGCCAGTAATGGGCATTAAAGATAGCAAAAGAGCATTTCAGACAGAAGGAATGGCTAGTTCAAAGGCCCTGAAGCAGCCATAGTCTTGGTGGTTTCAAGGAAGCATAAAAAAGCCAGGTGGCTGGGACCCAGAGGAGATGAGGGCGGGCGAGCATGCCCAGCTCTGGGCTCCACTGTGAGTCAAGCTGTGCAAACAATGCCCTGCCTTTGGAAAAGCAGAACAAAGCTGCTAGGGCATAAAGCATCCCCATTCTGCCTGGCTCTCCATCCTCTCAACAGCCCCGTGAAGAAGGGGCTCTCTCCATTTTATGGATGAGAAGACAGACTCAGCCGGGTCAAGTGGCTTGCCCAGGGTCACACAGGTCGGCTGTGGAAGACCCAGGCCCCTGGCTTCAGTCTTTGGGTTCACCTGTCCCCTCCAGGCAGTGCTGGCAGCGGTATGCCAGGCCTACAGCTTGGCAGAGGCAAAGTGCGAGAACCTCTGCTTGGGGTCTCAATTGGAGAAAGGCATGGCTTCCTCTCCCCTGATGTGAGCCATCCCAGGGCCATGGTGCCATAAGGGGGTGCACAGCCTGTCCCATGTGCAGTGCCTCGGAAGGCAGAGGAAGCTTTGGGGTGAGGGGCCCAAGACCCAGATTCTGACATCAGCTCTGCCACTGAGAACAAACAGCGTGACCTCAGGCAAGGTCTGTTACCTCAGTTTCCCCATCGGTAAGAGGAAGGAGTCAGATGGGTATTTAAGGGGTTTGCAGCCCTCGTGTCCTGCTGTCCTGGATGATGCTCTACAGGTGCTTCCTCCGCCAAAAAGGAACTGGTGACCTTGCCTCCCTCTCCTGCACACCTGGGGTCAGAGGTCACTGCCAAATAGACAACAGCTAGAGCTGGGGTTCACCTAAGCATCCCTTGAGATTTACAACCTTCTAGGAGGACGTTCCTCCTGAAAAAGGTCTTTTCAGGAATAACTGAAAAACCCATGGGGTTTGCGGTCCTACTGCTCTGCCAAGTCCCTCTTGGGCAGCTGGGCTGAGGACTGGAACATTCTGTGGCAAGCAGGAGGTCTCAGCAGAGATCACCAAGACCCAGCACACCTGGTATAGATAGCCTGCGGCAAAGGCAGGTACAGACAGCCACAGCACCCTCCTTCCCACAGGTCACCCCCACGAGTCACTTAACCTCTCAGAGCCTCTGCTTCTTACCTGTCAAGTGTGTGAGGTGGGGTGCCAGGGGGTCACGGTACTTGCTGTCTCACGGAGGAGGTGAGAACGGTGTGCACGCGGGTATGAACACTCGGTGTAGAAAGCAGGTGTGGGTATTCAATCCCCCAGGGGTGTCAAGGGCTCCTCAAAACGCCATGGGTCCCCAGGTCATTGTGAGAAACACTGTCCCCATCCTGCTGTGGTTGTGGCGGGCAGGTCCTTCAATGAGTAGAGTGTCCCTGAGAACAAGATGGATGCAGGGTAGTGACAAGTTCAAGCATAGATTTCTAGAGTTATCGTTTTGTAGCAACTCCTCAACCTGATTTTTTAAGCTGCCTACTTTTACTTTTTACTGTGAGCTTCTGTCCGTAACCATGTAATTTGTAATAATAATACATAAAGAAAAACACGAGAGAAAGGAGGACAAGAAGTCCACAGAGGAATCTGCATTCGAGGCTGCTTTGCAGAACTACCGCATTTGTAAGGACTGTTTCCCACTGGGAACTGTGTGATTCATGAGCAGTTTTATGCTTTCCCCCTCGTCTGTGTACGGTGTGATTGTTGTGTGTTTCAGAATCTCTATTCAGAACCAATAGCTGGTAGTGCCTGCTGGCTCGCTGCCCTCACGTTAGCCTCTGAACATGCCCTGCACCTAGAGAAGCAGCCTGCTCACCTGCCTCGCCTGGCCCCTCCAGCTGCCAGGCCAGCACCTGACCATGACCATTGCTGATGTGCAACGGGCCTTAATTGAAAACACACACACACAAGTACACAATGCACACACACATACATGCACATGAATACATGTGTGCACAACCAGCTGTGCATGCACACACATGCATGGACACGTGCACATGCACACACACAGGTGATTTCACAGGTAGATCTGGTCCCTCTTGCTGTCTCCAATGTTCTAGAAAGCAGCAAGTAGGCAGCTGACAGTGTTCCCAGGGTGGGTGGCATCTCCCCTCATCATCAGAAAGATTCAGTCAAATTTGGCCCAGAGCTGAAGAGAAGGACTTGGGACTGTCAGAGAAAACACAACCAGGAATGGGGGTTAACAGGATTCTTTGGCCAGGAGATGGTTCCCAGTTCACCGTCAACCCAAAAGCTCTCTTCAGGTCATGTCAAACAGACCAGGGCTGTGGGTGTGGCTGAGCCTGGCACTGACTCGCCCACAGGCCACTGTCCAGGTGAGGTCAGGATTTCAGCCTGGTGTGGCCACACCCTTTACATCCCTCCAGCCGCTGTCCCCACCCAGGCCCCTCCGATGGCTTGGCTGCCTTCACAATCACCATGTCTATTAGAGACTGTGCCATTATTTTAATTTTTCAACTTGGCTGAACTGGTCCCCATCAACAGGAAGAGCCTTCAGAAGTGAATTTACAGATTTCCCACATGTTTGAAATTAACATAACAGGAAGTCAGGAGGCAGAGCTTGCAGAGAGTTGAGATCACACCAGTCCACTCCAGCCTGGGCATGAGTGAGACTGTCTAGGTAGGTAGGTAGGTAGGTAGGTAAGAAGGAAGGAAGGAATAACAGACCTGGATGGAGTTATTGCGAACATGTCTTATCAATGTTGAAGGGCCACCCATCCCTATAGGGACACATCTACGTGGGTGGTTTTGTCTGCTGTGAAAATCTAGGGTTAGAATCATGGAAGCAAACTGCAGGGATTCTTAATCATCCTGCTCACGTGGTGGGCATCAGAGGGTGTCTGCCTGGCCCCCATAGCATCAGGACAGTCGGACAGGCCATGAGTGGATGGCACTCTGATCACCGCCCTTTGCAGTCCAGGAATATATCACTGGGCTGGGGCCATGCCCTGTGCCCTCCGGAAGACAAGCCTGTACACTTTCTATGTGCCAGATGCCATGCACAGTGCCCTAGTTCCTGTAGCACCAACACATCCCACACTGGTGCTTAAGTGCATGCAAACAACTTTGGGGGTTGTGGCCCGAAAAGCTCAAATGTTAAAGTTAAGCAGTCAGGCAAGCTAGAAGAGGTCAGGACCCTCCTAGAAAACCCATTCGATGACACGCATTTCCCTCACCTATTCAGCAGATACTTGCCGAGCGCCTGCCGCTTGCCTGGCCCCAGACCCAGGGCCCATCTGGGAGCCATTCCTGCTATAGCTGGGACCACCTGTGAAATGACTGGTTGTGCCTAACAGACATGCTTAGATTCACAAAATGAAATCAGAACACTTACCTGTCCTACTCATGAAAGTGACCTTGGAGGTATCATTGCCCCCACCCCCCCAGTTTCTAGTCCAAGCTCCTGGCCAACAGCTGGTGCTAGATAGATGCTTGATGAATGAGCAGGTTTGACTATTAGTTACTCTGTACCTAAAACGCCTATCTTCACCTCAAAGCCCTGACAGATTTGCCCTTGACAGACTGAAATCCAGGGCTGCTGCAGGGTTCACCTCCAGGAGGCACCATTCATGATACCATCCCATAAATGGTAATGGGCTCCCAGGGATGCTGTTTATATAGACTCCACTGAGAATGGTGACCCTTGGGTTTGTACAATGAGGCACCCTGTTGAATGACCCTAAACCAGCCTCCAAAATGTGCAGGATCCCACATTGGTCAGCGCCAACCCTGAGCACAAGATCAAAAACCGTAGATGACGTGGCCACCCTGGCCACAACTGGAACCAAGCTGGTGGCCCGAGAGAGAGCCTCTTTTTGGAATTGCACGTCAGTTTCTCATACCCAGTTTCTTCCTATTTTTCCCCATTTCCCGTTTTAAAGCTAGTGGCATACATCACAGTCAAATAACCAAGTGGTCAGTGTCTGGACGATGTGCAGTAATGAGGTGGGGGCTGCAAAGGTGAGGGGCTCAGTCACCTTAACAAGGCAGGAAACCTCCCACAAAAGGCGGATGTGTCCTCCCCAGGGCCAGCCGGACAAGGGCACGCAGCGGCAGGGGTGGGGGATAGAAATATTTTCTCTCCTGTAAACTGACTTCATGTGAGCAGGCATGGGGTCTCTCTGAGAGCTGATAACTGGGAAAACCAAAAACCAATAATATTCCTAATAATAATACTAGAATGTAACAATAATAATGTGTTTTTCACTGACCGCTGTTGCTCTGCTTTTGTCTTTATATACAGTAGTTTTTATAACAATGTCCCTAGGTTTTAATAAAGGAGTGTCATGTCAACTGTTCCCTAGATTGACGTTTCTTTCGGTGTTTCAAAATGTGCTCAAGGGAACCTGTGCCCACATAATTTGTCACTCTGTTAGGGAGGGTGGAGGACCAGGGGCTGGGGTGCCAGCCAAGGTGGTGGTAGGGGGAGCTGGGCACGTGAGTCCATCCTGAACACTCAATGCCAATGGCAGGTGGACACCACCTCCAAAGGGGCAAGGGCAAGGTCAGAGAGGAGTGACAGGGCCCTGAATCTGGCACTAGCACCCAATAAGACAGAGCTGAAAGCACATGGGGGATCAAGGGGCAAGGCTGATCACTGCAGACGGCATGCCATCAGTGGCCCCTGGTGTGACATGCCAGGTGCCTCTTGTCATCTCATTCGCGAAGGGACAGAGTAACCTCCTTTAATGAACACCGTGCCCTGAAAAGCCACCATCCCTCATGCTGGGACTGTGTGTCCCTCATGCTGGACACGGAGTCGATTCTGGCCCCACTCGCCAGCAGGAGGAGTGAGGACGCAGGAGAAGGGACAGGCTGCACCATGGAGAAAAGCAGCACCAGGCCTTGCAGCCCAGCCCTACTTCACCTGGGGCCCAGAGGCCCCCAACACCTGAAATCCGATGATGAGGATGCCAGACTGCTGGTACCCCCAGGCAATGGAGGGTGGCAAATACTATTTTCCTCCAGAGAGGTCTCATCAGATGCTTCAAAATACTTCTGCCAACAGTTTATCAAATATATCTTTCCTGGCATACAATCACAGGTCACCAGGTACACAAGGCAGCAACGTAAAGAAGCAATGGAGGCACAGGGATTAGGAGCCAGGCAGAGAGGCTACAAGCCCAGGAGCAGTCAGACACGTCTTCACACAGCCATACTTACTGTGCTCCAAATACATAAAATCACATCTGAAACCCATAAACAAAGATACAGGAAATTTTTCAAAGAGCCGATTAGAAACTGTAGAAATTTTTTAAAAAGTACATAATAACCCAAATTAAGGTCTCAGTAAATGAGTTGAAAAGCAGATTACGTAAGACAGTGTGGTATTGGCAAAAGAACAGACAATGAACAGAATAGACAGCCCAGAAATAGACCCACATAAAATAGTCAACTGATCTTTGACAAAGGCACAAAAGCAATAGAATGGAGGAAAAAAATAGTCTTTTCAAGAAATGGTGCTGGAACAACTGGACATTCACGTGGAAAAGTACAAATCCGGACACAGACTTTAGACTCCACAAAATTAACTCAAAATGGAGCATAGACCTAAGTGAAACAAACAAAAACAAACAAACAAAAAACAACTGTAGAACTCCTAGAAGATAATGTAGGAGAAAATCTAGATGACCTTGGTTTGGCAATGACTTTTTAGATATAACACCAAAGACACGATCTATGAAAGAATTGATAAGTTGGACTTCATTAAAATTAAACCTGTCTGCTCTGTGAAATATTATCAAGAGAATGAAAAGCCAAGCCAAAGAACGAGAGAAAAATATTTGCAAAAAGACACATCCGATAAAGGATCATTAGCCAAAATATACAAAGAATTCTTAAAACGCAACCGTAAGAAAACAGAGCCAGGCACAGTGGCTTGCACCTGTCATTCCAGCTATTTGGGAGGCTGAGGCGGGAGGGTCACTTCAACCCAGAGGTTCAAGACCAGCCTGGTAGCTACAGTGAGACCCTGTCTCAAAAAAGAAAACGAAAACAAGCCGGGCACGGTGGCTCACGCCTGTAATCCCAGTACTTTGGGAAGCTGAGGCGGGTGGATCACCTGAGGCCAGGAGTTCGAGACCAGTCTGACCAACATGGTGAAACCCCATCTCAAAAAAAAAAAAAAAAAAAATTAGCCAGGCATGGTGGTGCATGCCTGCAATACCAGCTGCTTGGGAGGCTAAGGCAGGAGAATCGCCTGAACCCAGGAGACAGAGGTTGCAGTAAGCCAAGATTGTGCCATTGCACTCCAGCCTGGGTGACAGAGCGAGACTCTGTCTCAAAAAAAAAAAGAAAAAGAAAAAAGAAAAAGCAGACGAAAGGAGAGGAAAGGAAAGGAAAAAGGAAAGGAAAGGAAAGGAAGAAGGAAAGAGGAGAGGAAAGGAAAACAACGTGATTAAGAGGCGCCTCACCAAAGAAGATACACAGGCAGAAAATAAGCATCTGAAAAGATACTCCACCTCATACGTCATCAGAAATGCAAATTAAAACAATGAGATACTATGACACACCTATTAGAATGGCCAAACTCCGGCACACCAACACCACCAAATGCTGATGAGAATGTGGAGAAACAGGAGCTCTCATTCACTGCTGTAAATGCTTTGGAAGACGGTTTGGCAGTTTCTCACAAAACAAAACATATTTTTACCATCCGACCCGGCATTCACACTTCTTGGTATTTACCCAAAGGAGTTGACAACTTATGTCCACACAAAACCTGCACACGGGTGTTTATAGCTTTATTCATAATTGCCGAAACTTGGAAGAAACCAAGATGTCCGTCCGTGGGTGGATAAATATAAACTGTGGTACATCCAGACAATACAAGATTATGCAATGAAGAAATGAGGGATCAAGCCATTAAAAGACATGGAGGAAACACAGATGCATATTACTAAGTGAAAGAAGCCAATCTGAAATTGTGATTTTCCCACAAGGAAATTCCTTGTGGACGAAGGACAGACAGAACTCAAAGTCCTCCTTCTGCTCACATGAGACAAATGCATGTCTGATTTGCTTCCTCTGACCTAGTGTTTCACTAAGCCAAACTAAGGCAGAAGTGGCTACTCTTCTAGGCCATCCCACTTGCAGATTGTGTTTTTGGTGAAAGGTTGGCTGATCAGAGACTCAAAAGAATGCAAACATTTGTCTGTTACCTATCTATGACCCAGAAGTCCTTTCCCCCACTTTGAGTTGTCCCACCTTTCTGGGCCGAACCAATGTACACCTTACACATACTGATTATAATGTCTCATGTCTCCCTAAAATGTATAAAACCAAGCTGTGCCCCAACCACCTTGGATACATGTCGTGAGGATCTCCTGAAGTTGTGTCATGGGTGTGTCATTAATCTTGGCAAAATGATCTTTCTAAATTGATGGAGATCTGTCTCAGAGACTTTTGGGTTCACACCAGTATGCTGAAAACTACAAAACATTGCTTACAAAAAAGAAAAAAAAAACCAAAACAATAAATAAGTAAACAAATTATTTTTTTAAAGACAAAACACTGCTGAAGGAAACCAAAGGAAATCTAAATAAATGAAGAGATTGACATATTCATAGATTGAAACACTCAACAAAGTAAAGATGTCAATTCTCCCCAAATCAGATTGATGTCAGTTATCTCCAATTCCTGCCAAAATCCCAGGAAGAGTTTTTTGCAGACGGACAAAATGATTCTAAAATTTATACAGAAAAGCAAAGGACAAGTAAGATAATTTTGAAACAGAATAAAGTGGGAGAAATGGGAGTGATCACTCAACCCAATTTTATTACTTATGTAGCTATAGCAGCCAAGACTGCGTGGTTTTATTAGAAGGACAGACACACAGATGAATGGAACAGAATAGAGAACTTAAATAAACCCACACATATTTGCCAAATTGGTTTTTGACTAAGGTGCAAAAGCAGTTTGATAAGGGAAAGATAGGCTTTCCAACAAATGGTACTGGAGCAATTGGACATTCATAGGAAAAAGATAAAAGAAAATAGACCCTTGAGGTAAGTACCTAAGTCTTATATACTAAGTAAAAATAATATTAAAGTAGAATATAAATTTGAATGTTAAAAATGTAAAACTATAAAACTTTGGGAAAATATTCTTTAAAATAAAAATTGATTGATTGGACTTAATCACAGTTAAAATATTTTGCTTTGTGAGAGACCCTGTTAAAGGGAGGAACAGACAAGCTACAGATTAAAAAAAAAAAATCTCAAACCACATATCCAACAAAGGACTAGTAGCTAGACACAAAAACAAAACACTCAAAAGTAAACAGTAAAAGACAAAAACAATCAAAGTAGACACGAAGAGACATTTTACTAAAGAGAATATACAAAGGGCAAATAATTTTGATGAAGTCCAATTTATCTATTTTTTATATTGTTGCTTGTGCCTTTGGTTTCATATCTAAGAAACCATTGCCTAATCCAAAGTCATGAAGAATTACCCATATGTTCTCTTCTTAGAACATTATAGTTTTAGTTCTTACATTTAGGTATTTGATCCACTTTGAGTTAATTTTGTATATGGTAAGGTAGAGGTCCAACTTCATTCTTTTTCATGTGGATATCCAATTGTCTCAGTACAATTTGTAATTGTTCTGGCACCACTATAAAAAACCAACTGATTATAAATGTGAGGGTTATTTCTGTACTCTAAATTCTGTTCCTTTGATCAATATGCCTATTCTTATGCCAGTACCATTCTCTTTATTAGCATAGCTTTGTTGTAAGTTTTAAAACTGGGGAGTATGAGTCTTCAAACTTGTTCTTCTTTTTCAAGAATATTTTGGCTAATATGGGTCTCTTGCATTTCCATAGGAATGTTAGGATCAGCTTGTCAATTTTTGACAATAAGGTAGCTAGGATTTTGAGAGGGATTTTGTTGAATTTATAGATCAATTTGGTGAGCACTGTCACATTAATATTAGGTATTCCAATCCATGAACATAAAATGTCTTTTTATTTATTTAGACCTTTTAAAATTTCTTTCAAGAATGTTTTGCAGTTTTCAGGATATAAGTTTTATACTTTTTTGTTAAATAGAGACAGCAAATAAGTACATGAAACAATATTTAACATCATTAATCATTAGATGAATATTAAAACCACAAGATAGTATCACTACACACCTATCAGAATAGTTAGGCAGATGAATATTAAAACCACAAGGTAGTATCACTACACACCTATCAGAATAGCAAACATAAAAAAGCTTACTGGTGGGAGTATAAAATGTTACAGCTACTCTAGAAAACAGTTTAGTAGTTTCTTTAAAAACTGAACATGCAACTAC